TGATGATGCCTGATGATCCCTTCGACACCTCGTGATTGCACAGGCTGGTGTGCTTCTTCCATGTGGGCTTTGTTGCTTCTGATATAGGTGGCCGCTTGTTTACCTTCAAGTCTTTAAGACCCCAGACGCTGTATCTTTTAAATAGCCGGGCACCATCAGCTTTCTTCGCCATAAAACACATTTTCTCCTTAAGTTTTCATTAAAAGTTTTTGTGAGGTATGGATGGAGTGCGATTAATATGTGCTTATAATAGAAAATATCCACACTCAAAAAAATTAAGAAAGAAATTATTATTTTTTTAAAGTCCCCACCCCTGCATGGCACCGTGACTTTGTTCATATGTTGGGCTGCAGACCACAAGTTGAGCAGTAGAAACCACCTCCTCAACAGAAAGATGGGTCTTTCTGCTCCCGTCACAGCCTTGGAAACCCACAGGGCAGCTCTACCCTGTCCTAGAGGTGGCTGTGAGTCAGCATGCGCTCGATGGCAGTGCGTGTGCTGGCTTTGTATCTATACCCAGCAACTTTGTGCTCTGCTGCTTCTATTGCTATGCTATTCTCTTATAATGGTGTTTAAAGGCAATCTAGGTTTCCATGTAATATAATATAAGCAGAATGCTGTCTTAGCATGCTCTTTCCAGCTCACCATGGCTAAAAATACTGCCATGATATGTTTGCACTTCATTTGTGGTAAGCAGAATCTAGGCCCCTCCCCTAATGTACATGAAGTACCTTGGAACCTGTGAATACGTCCGTGTGCATGGTAGACGAGATTTTGCAGATGTGATCAAAATAAGGACATTGAGGTGGGGAGATTAAGCTAGATTATCTGGTAAGTACCATCTAATTGAATGATTCTTCAAAGTAGAGAACCCTTCTTGACTGTGGTCAGAGAAAGAGATGTGATAGCAGAAGGAGGGTGAGAGAGATGCTACTTTCTGGGCTGTAAAGAAGGAAGCGTGAGAGGTCCAGAGTCCAGGGCTGGCGACGGCTTGTGTAGGGTCTCCAGGAGTCGTAACTGATGGGATGGCCGTGAGTTTGGTTTGGTTTTATAAGGAGTTGAAAAGGGCAAGGATGAGGATTCTTCCCTAGAGACTAACGGAAGAAATGTAGCGTACTGACAACTAGATTTCAGCCCTGTGACGTCCTGTTGGTGCAAGAGGGAAACATTTGGTTGCTAATCTGCTTCTATCAAAGTGCAGCCAAGAAAAGGTGATGGAGCAGTTCTACTCTCCCACATGGGCTTGCTATGCGGTAGAATGGGTTTGACAGCATTCAACAACAAGCTAGAGAACTGTAAGAGGGTGCGTTTGTGTTAAGTCATAAACTTTTGTTAGCAGCCAGAGAAAACAAATACATGGTTGACTTGGGAGTCGTGGTGGCTTGGTGGTTGCACGTTGGCCTGCTACCGGCAGCAGCCCCAAACCATCAGCTGCACCACGGGAGAAAGACAGGTTTTTCTACTCTTGTAAAGAGGGACAGTCTCAGAAAGGCACAGGGGCAATTCTACCCTGTCTTATAGAGTCTCTGAGAGCTGGCATCAACTTGATGGCAGTGAGCTTGGTTTTGGTTTTGTGCAGAAAATTTGATTAATGTGAATTGTGGTGTTGGCAAAGAATATGGAATATTCCATGGCCTTCCAGAAAAACAAAAATATGTTTCAAAAGAAGTACTGTTGGGATACTGCTTAGAAGCGAGACGTCATTTCATGTACTTCACAGATTATTAGAAAGAACTGAGACTACATAAACTTGTGAGATTACATTTCTCCCCCTCTCTCTGCTCGGACCTGGTCCTGAGGTCATGACTGAAAGGCTTCTTTCTCATCCATCGTCATCACCATCTAATTGAGTCTATTTAGGTCTTCTACCAGAGGTTCAGGCTGGATTCGGAAGAGGACTTGGAATAAGGGCTGTCATTGCCAGTGTCAGAGGGAAGCAGAGGACATGAGAAAGATGTTTACTTGTGTTTTACTGACTGTGCCAAGGCATTCCGCTTGATGAATAGTTTGGAAAAGGAGAATTCCAGAACACTTCACCGTATTCATCAGAACCTGTACATGGATCAAGAACAGAACAAGAGAACACTCTATGGTTTAAAATGAGGAAAGGTGTGAGTCATGGTCCTATGCTTTCTATACTTATTAAATCTGTATGTTGAGCAAATCATCAGAGAAACTGGATTATATAAAGAAAAAAGTAGTTTCAGGGTATAAAGAAGTTTTATTAACTACTTGCGATGTGCAGATGACAACCTTGCTGGCTGAAGGTGAGGAGGACTGAAACGCTTGCTGATGGAGATCAAGGATTGCAGCCTTCCGTATGGATTACAACTCAATGTACAGAAAATAAAAACCTACACAATTGGACCAATGGGTAACAAACCTCATGATAAATGAAGAAAAGATTGGAGTTGTCAAGGATTTTGTCTTGCTGGATCCACCCTCGATGCTCATGGAAGCAGCAGGTTAAAGGATGAGTTGTATTGGGTTCATCAGCTGTATGAGAGCTCCTTAAAGTGATGGAAAGCAAGGGTGTCACTTTGAGCACTGAGGTGCACCTGATCTGTGCCATGCTATCTCCCATGGCCTCCTGTGCACGTGACAGTTGACCATTGAGGAAGGAAGCCTGGAGAAGAATCAATACATGTGAATTGTGGTGTTGGTAGAAGAAATCTTGAAAGTATCCCGGACTGCCAACATAACAGAGATCTGTCTTGGAAGAAGCACAGTCAGAATGCAAGGAGGGCGGGACTTCTCTTTGGACATGTTGTCAGGAGAGTCCAGACCCGGGAGAAGGACAGTATGCTTGGTCCAGTGGAGGGGCAGTGAAGAGAGGACGGCCCTTAAGGAGCTGGATTGACACAGTGGCTGTAAAAGTGGGATCAAATATAGGACCAATTGTGAGG